AAAAAAAAAAAAAAAAAAAAAAAAAAAAAAAAAAAAAAAAAAAAAAAAAAAAAAAAAAAAAGTTAAACATAGGACCCAGAATTCTACTCTGAGGTAGGTAGGAGAATTGCAAATAAATGTCCATATAAAATCTTTTAGCATAATGTTCCTGTCAGCATTTTCATTGGAGCCAAAAAACTAAAACAACAGATATATCTATGAAATGGATACCCGAAATGTCGCATGCATGAAATGTTACGCAGCCATAAAGAAGAATGAAATACTAATTCCTTCTGGTAGCAGAAACCTTGAAAACATTATGCTAAGTGCAATAAGTAAGATAGTGAAGTATGATTTCATTTATATGATATTTCCAGAATAGGCAGGGCTATCGTGCCAGGAGGTCCATTAGAGATAAGAAGAATGGGGAGTGACTTCTAATTGGCATGGAGATTCTTGCTGGAATGCTAAAAATGTTCTAGAATTAGATAGTGGGGGTGGTTTATAATCTTAGGAAAATATTAAAGCTACTGAATCACGCACTTGAAAAGAGTGAATTTTATGACATATGAATGATCTTTCAAGTTGAAAAACAAATGAAACAGGAAACTGTGGGTAGATGTATCAGACACGGTGTTCCATCCACAGCCACTGTGCTTTGGTGAACATGGTATGACTTCTTACTGCCAGCACCAGCTCTCTCTGCCTAAGGCCTACCTTTAGGAGCCCATTCTGCCAGCACCCACACACGCCGGTGGACAGAAATGGCATGGTCATTTCCTGGTGGTAGAACATGATTGCTGGGAAGTTTTGTAGAGATCCCTTTGGCTCCCTCCTACCTTGGGCACAGGGACTCTACTCTGTTCTCAAGAGTTTCCCAACAGAACTAAGTCCTCCATGCCTATGGTAGCAACTGAATGCACACTCCTCGACGCTTCTTTGCTGGTCCTGTATCCCAATAAACTCACTTTATTGAGTCCTGCCTCCTGAGTAAACCCCCACAAGTGGGGTAAAGTTAAAAATATTAGTTATTGGAATCATTCCCCACTGTCTGCAACTGTGGAGAGTGATCCAATCACTTAACTTCTCCACCCCAATTAAAAGAACTCTAGGATGTTGTTTTTAGTTTTCCTTCTATGAGGTTGAACTCATTTGAACATGCGAGGCTGGTAGAACTGGGAAACGGAAAAGATTAGAAGCTTCTGCATCTACTTAAACCTCCAACATGAGATTTCTATTCAATCAGTGATAAGGACAAAATACGCACACAGACCAGTCAATAAACATAAGCAACTATTATTAATATCAATAGTTCTTTTAACTGTGTCAAATATTTCATCTCAGTAGTTTAGCAGTTCTTCTACATTACAGACTTCAAAAACTGGTCCAGCAGGATTCTTCCTAGACCTGTCTACAAACAAAGTAAGGTAGACTGTCCTGTCTACAATTCCACAATAAATCAGTAGAAAGACAGGCTCAGGATCTGATTTTTCTACAATGTGTTAATGGGTCACCTCCTAAAAAACCTTTCCTCAAGAAGGTCTTCAACTTAATTACATAGAATCTGTGCAGAATTCTTATTTATTATCTTCTTGAGTCTCCCAAGTCAACCAGAGACTATTCTCTAGCATGGGTGTTTCACTTACATTTTTTTGACTGTGGTCCCATTCCACTTATGTCATTCTCATTGAGTACTGAGTATATACCTGGCCCTGGACTGGGTGTGAGATTATAAGGATGAGTAAGTTGTAGATTCTCCTTTTATGGAGTGCATAGTCTTTGGATCTAGGCACTGGTCACAGCGGGAAATGCTAACAGTGGCTGATTTGAACTTAGGCAGCCCGCCCATCAAATTGTAACCTACAAATGCTGGGGCCTGCTGGGCTGTTTGAAGACTCCACCAAGGAATTATGTGCATTGTGGGCTGAGAGTAGAGGTCTGATGCTGTCAGAAAAGATCTATTGTGTTGATCAAAGTGTGTCTCCTGGAGCACTAGGCAATGTCTGAGTGGTGTAAGGGCCTGGTGTCTACGGAACACCTGAATCAGCCCAGTGGATTCCACTTACCTGGTGCTTTTGGAGTTCCTGGACGTATCTGGTCATCCCTTCCTCTGCCTGAGTCTGGGCTCCCTTCTGATTTTTTCCTGCAAGAAAAAATAAAAACTCAGAGTGGTAGTGGGTAAAGGATCTACCACGGTCAGCCTCACAGGTTATTAATTCATCTCTCATTTAACTTGTAGAAGGAGAGGTGAATCACTTCCCTTTCTGTGTGAAGGCATGAAGGGTCCCATGCCACTGTAACTTCCAAGGTAATACACTGTCAACCAGAGATCTATCCAATCATTCTCTGGCATTGGTTCCTACTGTCTCCTTCATTTGTATGCTGAGATGTGTGATGGGGCTTATTCTCCAGGTACTTAGGTATACTTAGGTGGGCTCAGCATACTCATGCTACAGGTTGGTCCTGCAGACAAAGCTATGCTGAGAACCTGGATCCTGGTTCAGGAAATTACTCAAGGGTTGTGATTTTCAATCATTCACACTCTTTCTCCCTCCCCCCACAAATGTCCCAGAGAATATTTAAATATGTAATTGCTGATTAATGATATATCTCAGTGGGAGAGCACTTGGTTAGCAAGTGCCAGCATTCAGTCTCTGGCACAGCCAAAAAAGTAAGTAAATGAACAAATGAAAATCTAAATTTGCCTAGCTTTTTCCTTCAGATATTCTGACTTTATTCATATAAAGTGTGGGGGGCTGGATGCCAGTTTTGTTGTGTTTTGTTCTTGTTAAAATCTTCTCTAAGTGATTCTATGCAGTTAGGGTCAATAACTATTGCATTTTGCAATACTTCCCAAACGTTCACAGTGCTATCTACAAGAACTATACAGGTTCTCAGGCTGTTCTTTTCACACATTCCAATTCGGTATGTTTGGGATGGTGCCCAGGAATCTTGCTTATCAGATACAAGCTAACCATTAGGACATACTGGACCCTGGCAACAACCTACGCCTTAGGGCAGTTTCCCTTCACCCTTTGTCTTCTGCTTGTACTGTCTCCAGGTCCTGCTGTCCCTTGGGAATTTGTGATCTAAGGCCAGAATGTTAGCTTTAAAACAAGAGCCCGAAAAACACCTCAGAATACAGACTCTCCAATCTCCTCTTACATTGATGCCCAATGCACCAAGTTGTGCTGAGGCCTGTGGGCTGCCACCCTCTGCATTGCTCTTTATTCCCAATCCATAGAGCTCTGAATATGGAACTTGAGCTTGCCTGGGAGGAAGGACCAGCTGTCCAGAGCTGTGTGACTGTGGAAATGGGCAATGGCTTATGAGATTGATAATTGGGATTGTTTGATATATGCAATGCAACTTATTACCCAGATGATCACCTGTTCTAGTTCTATAAATCAGCTGCACACTGACCCTGCACTTTAGAGATGGAAGGCTACCTTTATAAAGCCAGAGCTGGAGCAGTTAGGTATATGGAAAGGAGTTTAAAAAGGACATAAAGAAGGTTCCTAGTGAAGGTTAGTTGGGCCACTGGTTTCTGTTGCTATAATGTATGTGGTCTGGTTATCCCAGCTTTGTCTTTTGTGTGCGTCTGTGCCAGTCCTGGAGTTTGAACTCAGGGTTTGGGTGCTATCACTGAGCTTGTTTTTTGTTTTTTGTTTTTTTTTGCTAAAGACTAATGCTTTACCACTTGAGTCATAGCTCCACTTCTGGCATTTTGGTGGTTAATTAGAGATTAGAGTCACATGGACTTTCCTGTATGGGTTGGCTTTGAACTGTGATCCTTAGATCTCAGCCTCCAGAATGAGCTACCAGTACCTAGCAGCTCAGCTTGGTCATGGCTTCTAGTAACTTCTACAAACAGCATTTTCCTGCTTTTCTACCTAATCATAGAGTTAAGGGAGCCTCCTGCTCACTCTTCCATACTGAAACCTGGTCCTATGGTTGGGTTTGATTCTTCAAATAGTACTGGTTTCCATTTATACTGTTGGTGCTCTTGAGCTACTTGTTGGAATCTCTCCTAGAGCATTGACCTCTACTTCCTAATCATTGTTTTATCAGATTTTTCTGAACATAATTCCAAATACCAGACTACTTTTTCTTGCCTTAGTTAACATCTTACTTTAGTTTACCTCATCTGGCATAATTTTGAGGTCCGATTCCAACCTCAACTAATGTGACTTTCCATGCCAGACCTGGCTTCAACACCCTTCTCTGTCTTGACTCCAACCTGAATGGTCGCTGGCATGCTTGAACCTGGCTTTGAGATGATTCACTATTGATTGCTGGCACCGCTGTAGCCTAGGCCCCGAAAGAACCCAAGTGATTCCAACATACCTTTTAGCCCAAGATCTCTCTGACATCAGGATCTGACTACCATGCCATCACCTCTCAATGATCTCAACTTTCTTTTTTTAAGGGTTGTTCCCAGCTACTATCCCCCTTCCTCATCATTCCCATGCCATCTCTCATTCTATTTCCAACACAGCTCCCTCTTTCTGCCTGAGGCCCAGCTCACCGTCACAGGTCATGGCTGTGCAGACCCAGTTTCCGCATGCACAGACACAGCGGTTACAATCCACCTCAGTCTCAGCTCCATCTGCATACGTTTCATCCTCCAGGGCACACTCTGTTGGACCGAAAATAGGGACAGGAGTTTGGTATGAATAGAGTGTTTTTGCTATAGTCTGCACACCTGTCCATTTTCCCCACCTAAGATCTGTCTGTTCCTCAGGGGTACCACGTCTGAGCAAATAGCTCCAGCAACATGAAAAAAAAAGAGAGACCTCATCATGGAAATAATGGGGTGAGGTTATCATAGAATTGTGGAAGTTTTTTTTTTGTTTTTGCTAGTTCTAGAGAGTTTCACAATCCTCTCTATCTTGGCCTCCAAACATCTCTATTCCCAGCAACTCTCAAGTACTAGGTCAGGCTTACTCTTCTCAGGAGGGTTGAAAGATGGGTTGAGGCACTTGAGGAATTCTTGGAAGCTGAGTTTCCAGTCAGCATTTTCATCAGACAGTTCAATGAGAGCATCGACACAGAGTCCTCTGAAAGAAAAGCGCAGGAGAGAGGTGTCAGCAAGCCCTCGGCTTCCCTCCCAAGAAAGCAAGCCGACATCAGCTTCATGTATACCTAGGGACCTCTGGGCAGTGTGGGGAGGGGGAGGTGGGAAAGAAGAGGAAGGCTTCATTGAAAAACCTGCCCTCTATACTGGCTGGTCACAGCCAGTCTTTATCCTGTCCCTGTAAACATCTGACTTCACTTTATTAAACTGGATGTCAGATTACTCAAACTGTTCAAACATTCCCCGTTGGATGTCTACAGTTTGATGAATGGGCTTGTCCACCGTGATTGACAGATGTTTTCACTCCCTTCATATCTTCCGCTAGCAATTGATTTTCCACATGGTATGACTCTCAAGTCAATCGAACCAGAAAACTCAACATAGAAGAGATATGATAGGTGACATAGGAAAAAAAATAACAAAAAAAGCGATCTGAAAGAATACCCAAACATAATTATCAACACTCTGGAAAGAGACATTTTAGAAAGTTTTTTAGAGCCTCAGTTCCTTTACCATCCGTCGGCTGGGATTTCAGTCCCGACTTAATCATTTTCTGCTGCCAGAGCCCATTCTCTGTCATGAAAAGACAGGGCGGAAACTTTCTCATTTTCTGGGATAGCAGGAAGGCCAAATACTGTATTGAAGCTACAAAGCATTATCTAATTTCAGGTTACCAAAATAGGAAGGATTGGCAGATTCTATGCTTTTTAAGGTCATGGACAGTTGTCAAGAAAACCCCTTCCAGAGTAGTGCCTCTGTACTTCTTTTAAACAAGAAGTGCCTTTCCTATTTTTAATTCTTATTGATGTGTACGGAAACCACATGGACATTTCTTAGTAGTACTTTCTGTTTTTTAGTAGTGGTGAGGACTGAACTCTGGGCTGGGTGCTGTCCCTCAGCTCTTCAGCTCCAGGCTAGCGCTCTACCACTTGAGCCACAGCGCCACTTCCGGTGTTTTCTGTTTCTGTGGGGCTAAAGAATTGAACACAGGGCTTCATGCATGCAAGGCAAGCACTCTACCACTGAGCCACCTTCCCATCCCCCAATAGTACATTTTTTTTAAACCATATTTATTCTTGAATAATACCAGGAAAGGAGAAGGATATACATACAAATAGAGAGATCTATAAGAAACAGCACTGATTATCTTCAAAATCAGAACTGAAGTGATTTTAGACCTATAATGAGTACCACATTAATGCAATTTTTTCAGAAAATTAACCAATGTAATATCACTCTTCACTCTTAGAAACAACTCTGCTGGGTTGAGACTTTCATCATTTAAGATTTATATTTTATGTGTTCTGCCTGAACATAGCAACTATTTGATCAGATATCGGTGTTGTCCAATGTATTGGTTTATAACAGTCACAGACTAGAACAGGACTGAATTCTTACTCTTCTTTGTACTTCGTATGGGCACTGGTGACTCTTAGCAAATGGGAAGGGGCTCCGATCCTCCCCTCCTCCCCACGGGCTCTTTCCCCAGGGGACCCCTGCAGAACCCAGCCCTCACCTGAGAAGCTTGTTGCTATCTTGGTCAGCATAGGTGGTGATATTGATGGCAGTTTCATTCTGCTCCACAAATTTCAGAAATTCGCTGGAGTCCAGGCGAGAATCACCATTATCAAAGTTCTAGAAAGGGCATGAAAAGATGTGTCAGGAAATTCTGTAGAATCCCCAGGTTCATCTCGGCCCCTTTTAGCCTGACCTTCTGCACTTGTCTTGTTCTTAACACATTTCAGTTCTGCCCTGGAACAATTCAATGGTCTAGAAATTCTCTCTCTCCCCTTCTCTCCTCCCTCCCTTCCTTCTTCCTTCTTCTCTCTCTCTCTCTCTGAAACCCTGATGTCTGGAAGTACTACCAGAGTCTAGGAAGAGAGACTTGCTGTTTGTTCTCATGAGCAAGCTTTCTTGGCTTGGAGAATGCCCTAGAGGAAAGTTACTTTCCCAGGAGGCTGTGTGGTTTTGTTCTGGGAGTCCACACAGTGGTGGGGAGATGTGTTGAGGGGCAGGTTGGCTCAGGAACTTGGGAATCAATCTAATAGCAGGTGATAGAAATGCCCCAGGCAGGTGCCACTAAAAGGCTGCTACAGATGGTTGCAAGGTCCCAAGAGGCCCCTTGGAGGGAGTGTCCTGGTCCCCCAGCTCCATGCTATAATCACAGAGTCACTGCTTACAACAGGCCCTGCAAATACTATTTATTTGGCTTTGGAAAAACCATTTTCTTTAGTTATATTTTTGCTCCTGTCCAGCTCTCATGCTCAACAAAGTTTTGTGTTTTCCTGTAGAAGAGGGACCACCCCTGCCATGAGTGCTCTATCATGTCAGAGAGGTTTAAGACACAAAGCAGGGTAAGAAGGACCGGGCTTTCTCATTCAGTGAGATCTCAAAAACTGGGAATATGGGGCTAGGTACAGTGGTGCATGCCTTTAATCCCAGCTACTCAGAAGGCAGAGATTAAAAGGAGTGAGGTTCACAGTCAAGAAAAAGGGCTAACAAAACCTCATCTCAATCAATAAGCTGGATGTGGTGGTACATATCTATAATCCCAGCTATGTAGGAGGTATGGAGAAGAGGATTGTGGTCTGAGGCCACTCCCAAGCAAAAAGTATGGCAGAAAGTATGAGAGAAGTAACTACTAAAACATAAAAGGGTTGGAGTGTGGCTCAACTGGTAAACTACCTTCCTAGCAAGTATTAGACCTGGAGTTCAAATTTCAGTACCACCAAAAATAAAACAAAATAAACAAAACAAAGAGACACAGGGAATCCAGACAGATTAAATCTCTGTCAGAAGAAAGAGAAACTTCTAGCTAAAACCAGTTAACACCTGAGAAGCCTTAAGTAATCAAACACCTATTTTAACACAGCCCAGGATTTCTCCATCTCTGGGGTCTATCATGGCAATTAGAAAGTTAAATGCCAGTTAAATACCAGAACACATTAGCATGGAGCATATTAGGTGGCTGCAGAATTGCCAGGAAGTCCCTTGGGTGCCTGGAGCTGTCCCCAACTCCTGACTGGTTGGGCTCTGGGACAGCAGGCCCTGGGAGTGAGTCTCACTGTCTTAGCCATCAACTTAAGAGATGTGTGTCTGAAGTGCCGGAGGCTTTGGCACTGCCCTGTGGAAGGAACTGTGGGAGACTGAATGTGTATCTGTGAGACATGTGACTTTGTGTATGCTGTGTGGGGTCTCTGGCTTATTTTGTGTGTGTGTGTGTGTGTGTGTGTGTGTTTGTGTGTGTGTGTGTTCTTGTCAGTCAATTGGAAGAGGACCCTTAGCTGTTTCTAACAACGCGAGCTCTCTGAAGGAGCTGCATGACCTGGGTCCACATTGCTGCCAAATACTGTCCCCTCTCTCACGTTCTCCTTTAATGCAGCAACTCTTCTGCCCTCGTTGAACTGTGTCTCTTCAACTAAATGTAGTGGGTGACAGTGCTGTCTGGGTTCATGAACAACCTCTGGACCAATGAAATGTCAGTCCATGTGTGGTCAAAGTAGTGACTCAGAGTGACTTCATACTGGGCAGGAAAGAGGCTGAAATATTGGGTCAGATCAGAGAGACTTTGGACCACCACACAGTGTCTCTCAAGAGAGAGAGCCTGGCTTTTTCTCACTGTCTTGCTGAGGAAGACCTCTGTGCTTTAGCTGCTCAGAGTGAGCAGCAGGGGTGCTGGATTCCAGAGGTTGACAGCTGGACCCCGACTGATCAAGCTGTAACAATGCATTGAATTTCACCGCTTTGTGAAATGATGCCCAGTGGAGAGCCTCGGGGGGGCTGGGCATTGCACAAGGGAGCTCCCTTTCTCTGGGGCTCAGTGGTGGGAATCCAGCTCTTGATTACCTTAAAGTACTTGTCCAGGATCTCACTGTAGTTGCTGCCTTTAGAGAACCAGCCATCTGGAATGATCTCTGCTTCCAACCACTGGATGATGCGACGTCGGAGCTCATCACGGTTGGCCTGATAGCAAACAACTGCAGGAAAGGGGGTGTGTGGGATATCGGCTGGGCAGTGGGAGGAAGCACCTCTGTCACCAGAACTCCTGCCTGGGGGTTTGAGCCACATCTCTGCAGGTATGCATGTATCATCTCGTCCAACCTTCCCAGAACCCGGCAGCAGAGGGGTGGGGGGGGTAGGGCTGACAGACAAGATCATCATACCCAGGAGTACAAGTGTGATAGTCAAGCTTATCTCTCTAAATCATTTAGCAAGATAGGAGGTGGAAACAGAGCTTTTGTTGCTTACGAGGGAAAGAATGGAGCAGGAAATTAAAGGTATCTTCATTAACTTTGGGAAGCGGAGGGAAAAAGATTAGCAATCACTGGCTCCAAGATGAATTGAGATGAACAAACATACATAATAGCGTTATAACTTTTTTATTTGAGTGTGTGTATGTGCTTTTCAGACCTCAGCTTCCTGAAGAGCTAGGATTATAGGATGGAGCCACCAGTGCATAGCTTGTGTTACAATTCTGAATGTCACTGGACTTCCCAAAACTTTTTTTTTTTAGATTAAAACTTGCTTCCCTGACAAGTTTCATGCCACCAGCACTGTCTTGATCGAAAGCACAGAAAATAAAGCTGAGGAGTGGTCAACATGACAGCTCATGTTACTGCTGCAAGCCATGCAGACTGAGGTGGGGCTGAGGTTTGGGTGGAGAAGCAGAGAAAGCCCTGGCAAGAGGAAACTTCTGAAAGATGACTAAATATGGGGATATAAAAAGGGCACGGAGCCAGGGGAATGCATATAGGAGTATTCTCTTCCCCTCTACCCTCCCGAACTGTCTGACTTAGGTTGACTCAGCTCTCAGCATCTAGTTCCTCCTCTATAAGGTGATTATAGTGAGATCCACAGGCTGACTGTGAAGAACCACAGCAAGTATATGTTAAAGGGGTCTGTAACCAATGATGATGAAATTTAAATTCACATTAATACAAAATCCACAGGCTCTACTTTGCTAGCATTTCCAATTACCCACTTTCAAAAAGAACTGTGTTGGTGTCGGGCACCGGTGGCTCATACATGTAATCCTAGCTGAGGATCATGATTCAAAGCCAGCCTGAACAGGAAAGTATGTACGAGTCTTAATTCCAGTGAACCAGCAAAAAGCCTCAAGTGGAGCTATGGCTCAAGTGGTAGAATGCCAGTCTTGAGAGAAAAAGTGAAAAGACAATACCTAGGCCCTGAGTTAAAGCCCCAGTAGTGGATCAACAAAAAAAGAGCTGTGTCTTCCAAAGCAGAGGGCCTATAATATGAGCATTTCTGCAGGGGCTGAAGGAAGGCCTCTGGTGCTGTCCATGTCTTTCGTGTCCATGACATGAAGATCTAACCAGATGCTTTAGTGAGCAGCAAAAATGAAATGCACTTTTGTAGTTTTTCTCAGCTGTGCTGAGAAGGGGCAAGTTCTAGGTCACACAGAGATCTCATAGATGTTGTGAGTTTGGCAGGGATTATACAAGACAAGATTTCCACGCTACACTACATGCACACTGAAGAAAAATGAAAACAAAAAAAAACAAAAAAAAAAGCCAAATAGGCCCTCACCTGGGCTGGCAGATGGACTCACAGATTTCTTCTCTGCAAGACAAAAGAAGAAAATATGTAATTCAAAGTGAAGAGCCAGGTATAGTGGTCTATACTTCTAATCCTAGCACTCAGGAGGCTGAGGGAGGAAGAGCTCAAGTTCAAGTCTAGCCTGGGCTACACATAACAAGTCTCTAAAATATAAAACAAACCAACAAATACCCCAAATCAAAGCCAAACCCAATAACACAAAGCCCAAATTAAAGAAGTTTTTGGTTATTTCTAGGATTAAAACTGCCCCTACACAAAGGAAAATGCTTTTAAACTTAAAAATTTTTTTTATCATAAATCTTTATCTCCTTCCCTTCTTCTAAGGCTCAGAGATGAGGAATCTTCTCTTTCCTGCTTTGTCTGACATTTGGGGTCCCTTGAGTTGCCCCTTTGATCTCACACTTCCTCCTGTTGGGTAGGTGGATGGGGGCTTCCTGGACTTCTGAGATTTCTCCTGGAGACTCTTTCTGGACAGGGAATGGAGTAGAGGCTCTACTCCTGAGAAACGGCTTCATAAAGGTCAAGACTGAGAGAGGCTGAGCAGGACTATGGCTTGGCAGGGAGCTGGGGTCTAATAAGCACGAACTTGGGACTTTTCCTCTCTTACTCTAATAGCAGTGAGTGCAAAAGCAAGACAACAAAACTACAGAACTGAGAGGTGCCCAAATGTTTTAAAAGCAGGGGAGGAAAAAACTGTCTACTTTCTAACAAGGCTTGGAATTCATTTAAGAACTCTCTTAGCATTGTTGATTATTGATGTGGGTGCCTTACTTATTCTCTAGCTATAGAAAATACTGGGAGCCCACTGATGCAGGAAACGCAGGGCAGAGGCCTGGGCTAGATATAGGGCCAAGACAGCAGGCTCATGAATGTCAGGAGAGTATATCTCCCAGTAGCTGAGTGGTGTCCCACAGTTCTAGGAGGCGGCTATGGTCAAGGTCCCCAACTCAGTGAGGATGTCTTTCTCTGTTTGGTGTCTCCCCAGGGCTGGAACAGGGTGGTCTCAGCACACCTTACCTTTGCAGTGTCCGTCATAATCAACCTGGATTTTGGATCCGGTGAGGCAGGCATCTCGGTGCAGCTCACAATGGTTGAGGTAGGTCTTGCCATTACTGCCACACACAGGCCTCTTGTGAGGTTTGCATTGCTGAAACACAGCCAGGGGAGGATGTTTGTGCCCACATAGGTGCCATTGTATACCTGTGTTTGCCCATGCACGCGCGCACACACACACACACACATACACACACACACACAGCTCTTCACCACTCTGGATAGAACCTAGAAAGCACCAGGCCCAGGGAGCCTCAACTCTGGCCCACTGCTTGGCCTTACAGTTTTCCAGGGCCCTCTATGTCCACCATAGTCCATGGCTCTCTACTCTGTAGGGCAATACCCTGCTCTGACTGAAACCTTTGTGTCTCCTCCAGAATTCATGTTGAAACTTAATCCCCCAATACATTAGTATTAAGAGGTGAGGCTCTTAGAAGGTGGTTACCTTATGAAGGAATGGATTTAAGGCCTTCCTAAAGGAAATTTCACATGTATTTGGTTGGTCTCTCTCTTACCCTTCTGTCTTGGATCATGTGAGGATCCAGTTCAAGTTGCCATCTTAGGAGCAGAGACTGGGTTCTCACCAGACAGAAAATCGGTCTGGTTTCTTCATCTTGCACTTCTCCAGCCTCCAGGACTGTGAGAACTACATTTGTATTACTTATAAACTGCCTACTTCAGGTATTTTGTTATGGCAGCACAAATGGACTGAGATGTTCCCCTCATCTGATCAAATTAGCAGAATGAACATTTAATTGGTAGTTATGAGTTTGTCACTTTGGGCAAAATCAATCAATGCCTTTGATGATCTAAGATCCCTTAAAATTTCAACACTTTATGACACAAAGCAGCCAGAGCTGTGTGGAGACCCATATACTCTCTCTTGCACACACACACACACACACACACACACCCTCTCCAGATCTCTTGGGGCCTATAAGGATCTCTCACTCTGTGTAGAGTTGGGAAGCATTTTGCTTTCCTTCTAATTTCACAACTGCTGCTGTGACGCATGGGACTGGACTACAAGAAATCAGTATGGAAAAAAATGTGGAATAAAGTTCATTTGGCAATCAGGTTCAGCTTTGCTATTAAAACTGCCAAGATTACAAACTCAAATTCTTTAGACTTCTGTGGTTTTAAAGGGGGAAGAGAGGAGGGGAAAAAGCAAGTTCATGTATTCCTTTAGTCATTATTTACTGAGAAGTGCTTACTCGGTGCTGAGAAAAACCAAAAGCGGGCTCGACTTTTGTAGCATCTCTTAGGAAAAAAGTGTGTAGCTGAGTTAAGAACAGATACCAAGTTTCCAGATTCAGAGTCAGATTTATGCCACCACAGAGTGGCCAGGAAACTTCTAGTGAGGACCTCTCAAGTATACAGATTCCCAGGAGAATCAGGTTTTTAGGTTTCCTGGTTGGCATATTCCTGCTTCTGGGGCGATGGATGTGAGTCCTGAATCTGGGAACTAAGCTGAGTGTTTATTTGCCAAAAGAACTGGGTTTCTCCATTTTCTGTTGGCTAAACAAATGGGAGGGGGGAGGGGGAAGAGGCCACATGCCCAGGGTATTTATGTCAGGGGGTAAACATGTATTAAAGTCCTATTTCTCAAATGCTCACTTTGCTTTTGAAATATCATTTAAAAGCCAAACTGCAAAACCTACATTCCATTCACCATTTTTTAAAAAAGCATAATCTTTGACCTAACAGGCACTCATGGCCATCAATCTTTAGAGCTAAGACAGCAGATATTTACACTAGCCTGTGGCTGCTGGGGGTGGTAAACACCCAAAGAACCATTTTCATGTCTATCTCTGAAAAAGTGGTTGAATAAATCTAGTTCTTTTGTATTACTAAGTATTATGCAGTTTAAAAAACGAGTTAAAACTTTATGGTCTGCTCTCGACTGGGTTTTCTGATATGCTGATGAGAACACAATACAAATTGTATCTCTCTATAGCTGTAAATACTATAATCTCATTTCTATGTGAAACAGGGAGACACTTTGTATTTATATTAACATAGGAAAAAAACCTCAGAACTATATAGATCAAGCGGCTGACAGACTAATGGGACCAAGGGATAAGGGGGAAAGATGATTATTTTCTGTTTATACAAATGTCTATACTATGGAACTTTTATTTATTTTGTTTTGCTGGAGATCAAAGCCAGCATGTTAGGGTAGCATTCTATCACTGAGCTACCTACCCAGCACCCATATACTGGTTAATTTTTTTGTTTGTTAAAAAAATAAAATTAAAGAAACTTCTTATACAGCTTATTTTCTCTTCTGACCTTGGAAAGGAGATCAAACCCAGGGCCTATGGCATGCTAAGCAGGGGCTTAGCATGGACTTATCACTGAGCTATATCCCTAGATGATCATTTTTTTTATAAAAAGAAAACAATATTCCTGCATTCAAAAATCAAGCATCTGAAGCTAGGTGCCAGGAGCTCACACCTACAATCCTATTCAGGAGGCTGACATCTGAGGATTACAGTTGGAAGCTAACCTGGACAGGAAATTCCACGAGACTCCTATCTCTAATTAACCAGCAAAAACTGGAAGTGGAGGTATAGCTCAAGTGGTAGGGTGCTAACCTTGAGTGAGCTAAGAACAGGAAGGGCCTGAGTTCAAGCCTCAGTACAGAGAGAAGGAGGGGGGTAAGGGGGAGAGAGAAGGGGAGGGAAAGAAAAAGCAATCAAGATGTAACAGATGAGGAGTGCTTATATAATGATGATGACACTGCTGGTGCTGTCCTTGGCCACTGTCCTCTAGTTCCTGACCCCAGGACCTACCTCAATGCAGAGGCAGGTGGGCTCTCCCTTCTCGGTGACTGCACATTCTCGGCCAGCTCCACAAAACACATTGGCACAAATCTTGGACTTGCTCCTCAGCTCTTCCTGAAACACAGATCATGAAGGAGGCCATGTCAGTGAGATAAACGTACCACATGATGAGCCAAGGGCAGTGATGATCTTTCGGGCCTGGACTTGGGTCTGGAGCCACAGGTCATGGGGTTGAAGGATTTTCATTAGCCAAGTGTTTTCCTGGAACTGCCAGCACTACTCTGACCCAGGTTCAGGGGCCTGTGAGTCCCCAAGATTACTTCTCCAAGAGCAATCATGTCTTTCATGTATACTTCCTTTCTTTTAAAAGTATTTATCACCTACCTAGTATATGCCTATGTTGAGAGCTGGAAATACAAGGGACCAATCTTTGTCCTCAACAAGCTCCATAAGAGGGGCACTGGTGGCTCACACCTGTAATCCTAGTTATTCCAGAGGCTGAGATCTGAGGATCATGCTTCAAAACCAGACCAGGCAGAAACATCTGTGACATCCCTCTCTCTAATTATCCACCAAAAGTGGAGCTATGACCCAAATGTTAGAGTGGCAGCCTTGAGCCAGAAAGTTAAGGGAGAAGAGCTTTGGCTTTGAGCATGAGCATGTGTGCATGTGCATATATATACACAGACACAGACACAGACACAGACACAGACACAGACACAGACACACACACACACACACACACACACACACACACACACACACACAGAGCTCCGTGATTCCTAAACAAAGAGACCCTTAAAAAATCAGAAGCCCCAGGAAGCTGGAAGAAGAGGAGGAGGAAGGAAACAATCAAATGAGACTTTCTGAAAATTCCATGTCTTAAATGATTCCTTAAGGAAGAAAAGAACAAGCCAGGCAGAAATTGAAACACTGTCAAGAAATGTGAACCAAAAGATGAACGATGAACTATTCAAAGCAATATCAAAGGGCAACAGAAGGATGACAGAGTCATAGAAACGTGGACAAGCTATTATTGAGTATCCATTCCCTGTCCATTAGAAGGGCAAGCTATTCAAAGAATGACCCTCAAGCCACCTGCCAGGCAGGACACCTGTTCCAACATGTGCAGCAGAACTAACAGGGATGGGAATGGCCTCTGTCTATGCCACCTGAAAATGTGAGTACTCACAGGCACTAATCTGTTGGTCACACATTCCTTCATTCCTACTCATTCACAGCCCTACAGGTGGTACAATAATGGAGAATTGAGATTTCTCCAAGCCCTTCTTCTTCATTGGATGCTAAGAGAGTCACCAAAGTCTAGGCCTAAACCCTCTGGGTTGGCATTAGCCATGTTAAACCAACAAAGATGGCAAAGCCATGCCCCTGGGTCGCTCCTACCATGTGAAGCAAAGAACTCACATCCACAAGGCTGTAACAGTAAAATTCTTATGCCTGGTTAAATGTCCAAGAATAGGAAGGAAGGAAGGGAGGGAGGGAGGGAGGGAAGGAGGGAGGGAGGGAGGGAGAGAGGGAAGGAGGAAAGGAGGAAAGAGGGAAGGAAAGGAAGGGAGGGAGGGAGGGAGGGAAGGAGGGAGGGAGGGAGGGAGAGAGGGAAGGAGGAAAGGAGGAAAGAGGGAAGGAAAGGAAGGGAGGGAGGGAGGGAGGGAAGGAGGAAGGAGAGAGAGAGGAGAAAGGAAGGAAGGAAGGAAGAAGTAGGAGGGAAGAAAGAAGGGAAGAAAGGGAAGAGAGAAAGGGAAGAAATTAAGAAGAGGCTGGAGAGCCATCCAATACAGCTGGTTTGCTGCCACCTGGAGGATGCTTTGCAAACTCTAGGTTATTCTTTTCTCCCAGCTTGCTGGGCATGGAGGGCTCCCATTGGTCTAGAAGTTATTTGCACGCTCACATTTCATTGGCTCTCAAGCTGTTGCTAAACTGATTCGTTTTTGGATGTTGCTAAGGAGAATTCAATAAAGCTGGCAGGCAGGGAAGAAAAGAGGAAGTAATTCCTGAAGGCTGGGGGACTGGAGAGCTGTTTGTTTCCTGAATGGGGAGCTGAGATAAAAATCAAGCCGTCTCCAGGCAGGGACCTCATATGGGAACTTTGCCTGGGAATGTAGAAAGGTAGATAAAGGATGATTGAGCAGTGTAAAGAATTTTGGGATAGTATAACCTTCTCTCTTGCCTTCTACTAGACACTATAACCCTGTGGGTGTGTTATAGGAGCTGCAGACCTCACAAATGCACACAAAAAACGTGCTCGGCCACGTCTGCCCACTGGGTGTATACACTAACAAGGAAAACCCCACAACCCTCCCCAGCTAGCCGTGGGTTCCTATCTACTCCTTTTATTTCTTTGAGCTTAAAGTACAATAGGATCAAATACCCACCCTGCACTGCAGAGAGAAAATGGACTGTGTATTTGGAGGTCCACCGAAACTGGAAAGTAAGCTGCCTGTAAAGTGTAATATATAGGAATTCTGAATAGGGCTGCCTGCAGAAGCCTGGGACACACACAGAAACTCCTTTCCCCTCATGTTGTTTTTTAGTGCACACGCCTTAAAAATAAAAATAATGTGCACATCTGAGAGAAGGTAGGAGGAGGGCGCAGAATCAAAGAGAAACAAAGGAAAACATACAACAGAGGGGCCCATCAGCTGCACTAGACATTGATGAAAATGAACTAAACAACTCAAGGGCAGCAATGGGAGGGAGGGAAGGAGAGGGAGAGAGGGAACAGCTAACACTAAGCAAAAGGAAAGAAATGTATATATCTCCCCATGTGGAAGAATAGTCGTATTGTCAAAGCTCACAGAATTCACAAACTTTATAGGCCACGATAATGACAATTTGCCTCCTGAAGGTTAGAATGTGTTTGTGACTTTAAGTATCACTATCTCACAATACTGTGAAATTTGTGAAATTTATGTAATCACTTAATCACAATACAAAATTATAAAATAACTAAATAAAAATAATTAAAATTTAAAAACCCCAACAGTTCTTCTATGAATTCAGCCGTCATGATTCTTCAGAACTAGTTCTCAAGAAATCTATTTGGAGAAGGCCAGAGTTAACTTAAATCATTAACAACTAGTATTTTTTTTAACAACTAGTATTTAAATAGTGAGATGAAAATTTACAGACATATGATTTCATCTTATTCTGTGAACAATCCTGCAAGGTCATGTATATTATTAGGAGTTCCCTTTTGTAGATGAAAAAAAAAATCAAAGATCAAAAGGTCAAGTAACTGGCCCCCAGGTCCCATAGCTACAAAATGAGAAGCACTCAGATTCAAACCCACATCTTCAGGCCACAGAAAACTAAATTCCCATTCTTAAATTCCATGCATCCTGTTTACCCTGTTAAGTATGTGATTTAAGCTCTACAGCACCTCCTTAAGTTCAATGTTATTATCACCTCAACAGAGCTGAACTGTTGAGGCTAGAGAATTTGAAAGAGGCAGAGCAAGGACTGTACTAAATTTGCAATGATTTGTTTTCCTATCCAGATGTCTTAAGAATTGTAATAAAGATATGAATTGAATAATAAGCAAGTGTCACAGGACAAAGTGCTGAGTGCATTAGACATTTAGATCTAAATTCCCCACATCCTATTTCTGTTTCTTACTTGCTGGGGTCATGGACAAGGCACTTGCTATAAACCTCAGGTTCTTTGTGTGGGAAATGGAAATATTGATCCTTGGAGAATGGTTGTGACACTGCAGTGAGCCATTTATTCTCAGTTCCTCCATTAGGTGCTCTCATTGGCACCTTGGGTGGTCATACCCCATTCTTAGGCGAAATAGTAATGATGGGAACATGAGTGATGGCATGCAGAAAGCAACAGGCCTAGTGACCCCCAGTGACGGATCTGCAGAGCAGGGAGGGCGGAGCCACTAGTTATACAACCTTCTCTTTGCAGGTGGCACATCTGTCAATAGGTGGCAATCTCTCTCTTTGTCTCACACAGCCCAGAGCCGCAATGCAGCAGTGCAGTCTTGGCTGCAGTGGCTTTCTGTGCCCAGCTCTCTCCTCCCAGTGAGGAATGGCACAGGAGGTGGGAAAGCAGGGCAGACACCCCACCATCCCACCAGCACAGAAGTGAGGATTTGCCAACCTGGGAAGGAATGTCACCTCTGCTGCCCTTGAAGCCCTCCCCAACGCTCCCGTTCACAGGCAGTTAACTGCAGAAATCAAAATCAACAATGCAGGAAATTGTCTCCGGAGGTGGCATCTTTGTGCCATCTTCTCTGGGAGTATTTCCCAGGGTTCTAGAAAATTTCTTCAGGTGGTAGGTAGGTGGTCTTATTGTTGAACAATGGATTCCGAGTGGGAAATAATAACAAGATAAGACAAGCAAAGCATGGACATACTTAGGTACTGCCAGAGCTACAGAGTAAGGAGGGTGATGGTCTGGGAAGAAGGAAGACTAAGAGGTGTGGCTGGGGTTGGGGGAGAGGGGACAACACAGGAGGGAGAGAGAAAAACGAGATGAAGAAGAGGGCAGAAGAGTCTATGAGACTGTTTCCAAGATAACCAGCAAAAAGCAGGGCTGGAGGCACGGCTCAAGTGGTAGAGTACCAGCCAAGCAAGCAAGCTGAGCGAGCGTGAGACTCTGAATTCAAATCCCAGTACTGCAAAAAGAAAGAAAGAAAGAAAAAGCAAGCAAACAACACCACTCTTAGAAAACAAAACCAAACAAAATAGCTGCCTCCACATGGAAAAACATCCAAAGTTCTTGCTTTATCCTTTCATTCCTGACACTTCCTTGTTGCTTTCATGGTGTGTGTTGCAAACCAGGCTCTGCAGATTTGGTCTGGTGGTTAATTTTCACACTGTAAACTCCTCTTGGAAAAAGATTGACCAAGAACATTTCTAAGTTTTATGAGGTAAAAACTTGCTCAGAGGGAGTATTAGCTATTGCACGCATACAGGCTATATATTAGCTTAGCAATTTTGATGGATATGTCATTTTTCCTAACATTTTGACTTTCAAAAAAAAACAACCCAAACTCCAAAATCTTTTCACTTGAGCAGGCAAGGTTACCTCAAAGGCCTCTCCAGATCTCAGAACTGCCCAAGCCCAGAGGAACAGTGCAAGATTTC